CGACTGTACTTCAGCAGCTATTCTTCCTCTCAGGGCTCTGGGTCCCCCTGATGCTGATGGAAATCAGCCCCTTCAATATTGGCCCTTTTCTACTAGTGATTTATACAATTGGAGGACCCAGAACGCCCCATTTTCAGAGAGACCTAAAGAGCTTATTAATTTGTTAGAAACTGTTCTGTTTACTCATCAACCTACATGGGACGATTGTCAGCAGCTACTCCAGATATTATTCACCACAGAAGAAAGAGAAAGGATCCAGCTAGAGGCGCGGAAACTGGTGCCAGGAGATAATGGGCAACCCACGGCTAACCCTGTGACGATTGACTCCTCCTTGCCTTTATCTAGGCCAGAGTGGGACTATAACACGGAGGAAGGTAAGGAGCGGCTCCGGGTCTACCGCCAGACTCTGTTGGGGGGTCTCAAAGCGGCCGCTCGCAGGCCCACTAATTTGGCTAGAGTAGGTAACATACAGCAAGAGAGAGAAGAGAGTCCTACGGAGTTCCTGGAGAGACTGATGGATGCATTCCGTCAGTACACTCCCATGGACCCTGAGGCAGAAGATACTAGATCAGCCTTAATGATGCATTTTATTAATCAGTCAGCCCCAGACATAAAAAAAAAGTTACAGGAGATAGATAGATTAGTTGAAAAATCTATTCAGGATCTGGTGGCAGTGGCAGAAAAAGTTTATAATAACCGAGAGACACCTGAAGAGAAGCAATTAGAGCTGCCGACCGACAGACCCAAAATATGGCTCGCATTCTCCTGGCAGCCACCAGCACCCAACCTAACGAACGAGAAAAGAGATTGAGACAACTGGCAGCAGGTAAGCCAAAACCCAACCCCCAAGAAAAACCCAAGTTAGGACAGAACCAGTGTGCATATTGTAAGAAAGAAGGACATTGGGCTAAAGATTGCCCTAAAAAGTTCAGACAGGGAGCCAATGTTTTGGCTCTAGGAGACCTGAGCGACTAGGGGAGATGGGGCCGGGAACCCCTCCCCGAGCCCAGGGTAACCTTAAAAGTGGAGGGGACCCCAATTGAGTTTTTAGTGGATACTGGGGCTGAACATTCTGTCCTGCTTGACCCACGGGGAAAACTCTCTTCAAAGACTTCATGGGTGCAAGGGGCCACTGGTATGAAAAAATATTCATGGACTACCCGAAGAAACCTAGATCTGAGCACGGGCCGGGTATCCCACTCTTTCATGGTCATACCAGACTGCCTCTACCCACTGTTGGGGCGAGACTTGCTGACCAAAATAGGAGCCCAAATCCATTTCTCACCTGAAGGGGTAAATGTTACGGACCCGGCCGGCAGGCCGGTACAAGTTCTAACCATGCAATTAGATGATGAGTACAGATTACACCAAGGCTCCCTCAAAGTAGCCCTTGAGACTGATATGCAACAGTGGCTTAATGAATACCCACAAGCCTGGGCAGAAACCGGAGGTCCAGGCTTGGCCAAACATCGGCCCCCAATTTATATTGAACTAAAACCAGGAGCAGAGGCCGTCAGAGTCAAGCAATATCAGGTGCCACAAGAGGCACAAAGAGGTATTCGCCCTCACATACGCAGGCTGTTGGCTCAGGGCATCCTACACCCATGCCAATCCAACTGGAATACCCCCCTTCTCCCGGTCAGAAAGCCGGTATCCAATGACTACAGGCCAATGCAGGATTTGAGACAAGTTAACCAAATGGTGATGGACATCCACCCCACAGTACCAAACCCCTACACTCTTTTGAGCTCCTTGAACCCCAGTCACCAGTGGTATACAGTACTGGACTTAAAAGATGCTTTTTTTAGCTTCCCCCTGGCACCCAAAAGCCAGAATATTTTCGCCTTCGAATGGTCAGATCCAGAAGAAGGCATTCACGGGCAATTAACTTGGACGAGACTGCCACAAGGATTCAAGAACTTGCCCACGATCTTCGACGAAGCCTTACATGAGGACCTGGGTGAGTACTGTATCCAACACCCATGGGTTACCTTGCTACAGTATGTAGACGACATTTTGTTGGCCACAGAATCCCAACAAACCTGTCTGGAGGCAACCAGAGACTTGTTGTATACTTTAGGTGAGTTGGGATATCGGGCCTCCGCAAAGAAAGCACAAATTGGCAGACAAGAGGTTCATTACCTGGGATACATATTAAAAGAAGGGCAGCGGTGGCTGTCCAGAGCTAGGAAAGGGACTGTGTTAAAGATCCCTAAGCCCCAGAGTCAACACGGAGTTAGAGAATTTCTGGGGTCCGCTGGATTCTGTAGATTATGGATCCCAGGTTTTGCTGAAATGTCAAGACCACTATACCAGGCAACAAAGGAGACTATATAATTTGCTTGGACAGAAGAAATGGATAAAGCCTTCCAGGACATTAAGGCAGCCCTCCTGTCAGCCCCTGCCCTCGGTCTGCCTGACATCACTAAGCCCTTCCTTCTCTATGTAGATGAGAGCAGAGGGGTAGCCAAAAGGGTGTTACTCCAGAAACTGGGACCTTGGAAAAGGCCAGTGGCTTATCTTTCAAAAAACTGGACCCAGTGGCTAGTGGTTGGCCTCCCTGTTTGCCTATGGTGGCTGCTGTGGCCTTGTTAGTAAAAGACGCTGGCAAATTAACCCTGGGACAAGAACTGCAAATAACAACCCCTCATGCCATAGAGGGTATATTGAGACAACCTCCAGATTGATGGATCAGTAATGCTAGACTGATCCATTACCAGAGACTACTACTAAACCCTAACAAGATCATTTTTCAGCTGCCAACTACCCTGAACCCAGCCTCACTCCTGCCGGATCCAGACCTGGACGCTCCACTACATGACTGTGCTGACATCCTGGCTCAGGTATGTGGGGTCCGAGCTGATCTGAAAGATGTTCCCCTTCCGGATACTAAACTGACCTGGTACACGGATGGGAGCAGCTTCGTACAGAATGGACAGAGGTATGTGGGTGTGGCTGTGACCACAGAGACAGAAGTCATATGGGCTGCCCCTCTGGCCCATGGGACATCGGCCCAAAAAGCTGAGCTTATAGCATTGACTGAAGCCCTCAAAAGAGGTAGAGAAAAAAACCTGACCGTTTATACTGACAGCAGATACGCCTTTGCCACAGCACACATACACGGGGCCATCTATAGAGAGAGGGGGCTCCTGATGGCTGAAGGAAAAACTATAAAAAATAAAGAGACAATTCTTGAGCTTCTACAGGCCCTCTGGCTGCCCAAGAAACTGGCCATAGTCCACTGCCCAGGCCACCAAAGAGGTGACTCCCCCGTGGCAAGGGGCAATTGACTGGCTGATCTTTCGGCCAAGGAGGCTGCTCTAGCATCTGTTACCCCAGTTTTGGCAACTCGACTCCCTGACCCAGGGACCACGACTCTACCCGATAACCCCGATTACAGTGAAACAGATATAAAATGGATTAACTCCTTACCTATGACTCAATTTGAAAATGGTTGGTGGAAAGACGTTAAGTCAACGCCTATCCTACCTGAAAAACTGGGGACAGAACTGCTCTGGAAAATTCATAATGCAACCCATTTAGGGGCAAGAAAAATGCAGGACCTCGTTAAAACTGCAAAGATTGTTATCAAAGACTACCGGGCAAAAATAAAAAACATTGTCTCAGACTGTAAGGCTTGCCTGCTAACTAACCCAACAAAGACTTCAGGAGCAACCAAAGGAGCCAGAGAAAGGGGAACCCGCCCTGGAGCCTACTGGGAAGTGGACTTTACTGAGGTAAAACCGGGACAATACGGATATAAATACCTGCTGGTCTTCATTGATACTTTTTCCGGATGGGTAGAGGCCTACCCAACGAAAAAAGAGACCGCCCAGGTAGTAACAAAAAAACTCTTAGAAGAGATCCTGCAGCGTTTCGGATTCCCTACACAGGTAGGTTCCGATAACGTCCCACCTTTGTCTCCAAGGTAAGTCAGGGGCTGGCGGTGGTTCTGGGGACAAATTAGAAATTACGTTGTGCCTATTGACCCCAGAGTTCAGGACAAGTTGAAAAAATGAACAGAACCTTAAAAGAGACCTTGACCAAATTAACCCTAGAGACTGGCGGGGACTGGGTGGCCCTCCTTCCTTTTGCCTTGTTCCGGGTACGGAACTCACCTTACATGTTGGGGCTAACACCCTTTGAAATTATGTTCGGGAGACCTCCCCCTATTGTACCTAGTTGAAAGACTGATTTAATTGCCATCTTGCCTGTTGATGCTCTGTTTTCCTCTCTCCGACTCCTCCAACGGGTGCACGAGGACATTTGGAAACGGCTAGAAGCCCTACACCTCACCAAGCCACCGCCAGAACCTCATCGTTTCCAACCAGGAGATTGGGTCTATGTGCGAAGACACCGCTCAGACACCCTCAAGCCACGCTGGAAAGGACCCTACTCCATCATCTTGGTCACCCCAACGGCCCTCAAAGTAGACGGTATATCGACGTGGGTCTATTTCTCGCATGTGAGGCCTGCTGATCCTTTCACCGACATCCACGAGGTTCTGCCACAATAGAGAGTTTCCAGGCATTCTGACAATCCACTCAAGTTAAAACTTCAGAAATGCCCCAGAGAAGTATCTCCTTCTTAAGGTACTTTGTGCTCTGGGCAGCCATCCAAGGGCTTACCTCAGCCAATCCCCATCATCCAGTGGACATGATTTGGATGGTCTACAACCCTGAGACTGGAGAACTACTTGAGTTCCAACGTAGCTCCCGAAGGGACATGGTGGCCTGTATTGACCTTTGATTTATGCGTCCTGGCAGCCGACATTAACGGCTTCCATGGTCCCAGTCAACTGAGTGACTTTATTGGGAGCCCTCAGTTTGGGACCCTTGGCCTTTTTGACTGGGCCTTCCAGGGAGACACACCATGCACAAAACCCACACCCATACATGTCTGTCCGGGGGGAGGAAGGGATCAGGAAGCAAATTGCAAAATGTGGGGGAGTTGATTCTTTTTATTGCGCCACTTGGGGATGTGAAACTACAGGGATGGTCCATTGGCTCACCAATCCCGTCAAAGACCTCATTCAGGTAAAATCACCCCCAGATTTCCCACCATGTAGGACGCTATGGTCTAAACCTGGACAATGTTTTCCATTACAGATTAAGTTCACTGATGAGGGAAAAAAGTTTACCGAGTGGGATGTAGGCAGAGCCTGGGGCCTACGTCTTTATCAGGCTGGATTCAATAATGGATTCCGGTTTGAGCTTAAATTACAGCTGAGACCACTCTATTCTGCCCCCAAGGTGGCTTTGGGACCTAACCCGGTGATAGCCTCAAAACCCTCCTCCCAGATGACAACCCCAAAACCTCCCTCCCAGAACCAAAGTCAAGATACTAGAGTTGCTCCACACACTCCCCCCATAGTTCCTTCCATAGTTGACATGCCCCCCCCAGATCCCCTTATAAAAATGATCTCCTCAGCTTACCTTACCCTTAATGCCTCTCGTCCGGATTTAACAAATGGTTGCTGGCTCTGCTATAATATTAGGCCTCCTTATTATGAGGCAGTTGCTTTTTCTTCAGGATTCAATGTGACTGCCGCTGTCTCAGCCTGTAGATGGCAGCAACAACCTGGAACGGGCCGCCTGACAGTAAGCTCCATTACAGGTATAGGCACCTGCATAGGAGTTATCCCTGAGACTTATCAACACCTATGTAATCACACAGTCTCTATGACTGACTTCACTAACTCCACTCACCAGTAGATCGTCCCACCAAAAAATGGGTGGTGGGCTTGCTCCGCCAGACTAACTCCATGTGCCCATCAGGCGGCAATAAAAACCTTCCAAGATTTCTGTGTCCTGGTCCATCTAATCCCCCGGCTGAGCTATTATTCAGAAGAAGAACTGCAACCAAGGTTAGAGACACCAGGTCAGTATAGGATAAAAAGAGAACCCGTCACTGCCCTAACTTTAACTGTCCTGTTGGGATTGGGGGCTATAGGAACTGGAAGTGGAATTGCAGCCTTAACACTCCAAGATAAACAGTACAACCAGCCAAGGGCTGCAATAGATGAAGATATTGAACAGCTCGAGAAATCCATTTCCCACCTCCAAGAATCCTTAAGTTCTCTGGCTGAGGTAGTGTTACAAAATAGAAGGGGTTTAGATCTGCTGTTCTTACAACAAGGAGGACTATGTGCAGTCCTAGGAGAAGAATGCTGTTTTTATCTTGAGCACTCAAGAGTAGTACAGAAATCTCTTCAAAAATTAGAGAAGGCCTAAGCAAAAACGAGAAAATGGACAATAATGGTTTGAGTCTTGGTTTAATACTTTCCCTTGGTTAACTACCCTGATTTCTTCTCTATTAGGACCCCTCATTATACTGTTGTTAATCTTAACTATAGGTCCCTGCATATTAAATAAAATTATGTCCTTTATACAAGATAGATTCAATGCCGTTCACCTGGTGATACTCAGATCTCAGTATTCAACTGTCCCCACAGACGATATAGAAGACCCATGATTGGGCCTTCCATAGGAACAAAGAGAGGGGGAAATGTGAAAGAAAGATATAAAACAACTTCATTTTAGATAGCATTGCAATTCTGAGTGAGAACCCCTCCCAAGAAGAAGAGAAAGAACTTCCTCAAACCAACCAATCAGAAGGAGACGAGTTACCCTCCACCTCTAGGCAATCTAGAAGAGCGGGAGAAGTCCCTCACCCCACCCCCATCCCATCAAGACTTCCCGCTTCCCCTGTTAACATAGTATGAACTAGCCGACCCCCCTCAGCTTTCCTTCCCGCACACCATATGAACTAGCCAATCCCCCTAAGTTTCCCTTCCCGCGGTCCCTGCTATACATTATAAAACAGACTCCCCACTTTCACTCGGGGATCCTTCACCATTGTGTGAAGGGAGTCCCTGCTCGAGCTTGTAATAAAGTTCCTCACTGCTTTTGCATCGATCCGCGGCTCCTGTTGTGTTTGGGGGAATTCCGCAATCCCGGTACAACACCTATAAAAGTTCTCACCCCCTGCTTGTCTGGGGCGGGGAATGGGTCAGCATTCGGACAGATGTCCACCACCCTCCCCACTCCCCACCCTGTTTCAGGCGTCTGAAATAAAGCGCATTTCCCTTTTGTTGACTAAAAACGATGTACAGCTTGAGAGTTTTGAGTTAAGTTTTATTTTGGGCAAAATAAGGACTGCAGCCCAGGCGGCAGCATCTCAGATAATTCCAAGAGACTGCTCCAACGTGGTAGTGGGTGAAGATCAATATATAAAGTTTTGGTGAAGGGAAAGTTTAATACCATGAAGCACTCATTTTACAAGACTTTTTGTTAGTCATGAGGATCTGATGTCACTATAAAGGTATGTAGTGCTTCTTTAGATATGAGGAGATGCAAAGACTGAGATCATAAAATCTGTTCCTGAAAACATCCAACTATCTAAAAACCTGTCCCACCAGATTCCCTGGAGCACAGAGTGCCTCACTCCACCCTGAATTCCCTCAGGGGTTGTTGAAGGTCAACAGCTATAGCAGAATGGAGTTCAATCTCCATAGAGGCAGATGGCAAATTCCTTTGTTGTTCAGTCATTGGCAATGTTCTTCATGCATACCTTTTGGTATCAGCCAAAGAAACTAACACATTATTAAATCGAGAGTGCTCTCATTGTAAACAACTGTTTCATTGGTACCTGTAAAACAAAAGTCAAATATAAGAACCTTCCTTTAGAATGAGAAAAACTGGTCTGGGAAGTTTCATTGTGGCCTTCCCCTCAATGGGTCTTGCAGATGCTAATAACAGCGATTAACAATATCAGCAGGGAAACTTTGGAAGAAAAGTCTACTGTTTCCAATGAAGTTAAAAAAAATTATTTTAAAAAAGTTACCTCAACTGAATAAAAATATTTGGATGATGATGTAAAATGTGATAAATAAAATAAATAGACATTTATGTGATTAAAACAAGATTTGATATCACTACACTCTGTCAACTACAAATTGGCACTTGCCAAGAGCATTGCCAGTGACTGAACAATGAAGGTATTTGCCATCTGTCTCTGCAGAGACTGAACTCTGTGCTGCTGCAGCTGTTGACCTTCAACGCCCCCTGATGGAGTACAGGGTGGAGTGAGGCACTCTGTGCTCCAGGGAATCTGGTGGGACAGGTCTTTAGGTAGTTAGAATGGATTTTATGATCCCAATCTTTGCATCTCCTCATATTTAGAAAATAACTAAATCCCTTTATGATGACATTGGCTCCTATTGACTAGCAGAAAACCAGTTGTAAGCACTTTATTGTGTTGAACTCCCCCTACACCAAAATTTTATATACTGACTTTCCCCCACTACCTCTTTGGAGCAGTCTCTCAGAGATATATGAGGTGCTATCTCCAGGGCTGCAGTCTTCATGTTGCCCCAAATAAAGCTTATCTCAGAACTCTCAAGTTGTGCATCTTTTTATTTGACAGTTATGGCGACTGGTGAAGTGACCCAGAGTGGACTTCCTTCTTTCACCTGTACTCCAGGAAGAAATGGAACTTTGATACCAGCAGCAGCCCCTTGTGTCCTTCCTCTTCCTTGGGGAGTGCAGACGAATTTGGTTAAGTCTCTCCTGGCTCTTGAATCTCCCATATTCTTTGAGATTCTCTGTGTTATTTGGTGGTGGAACAGGTTACCTGACCTCACCCTGTTGGATGTTGGGAGAGTGTGTAATTTCCTCAATTCTGTCTTGCTGCAACAAAGATTTGAAATGGCAGACCAGTGTTACAGCTTGATTACAGCTCAGAGTTTTATTCTGCAAACAGAGGATAATACACCCTTGGAGGTGTGAGGGCAGGTCGACCCCAAAGGAGAGGCCTCAATCCATATTGGCTCTCTCTTTTTATAAGTTTTGTCTCTTCCTCTCTGAACCTGCCCTACGCAGATTAGGGACAGCCAGGAATGGGGTGTGTTTGTTTCACCTGAGATTCTCACTTTGGTCTGTGGATTTTTCCTTTGTTCCCTTTTTGTGGGCTTTTCCCTTTCTTTGTCTTTTAGCCACCTCCATTTTGGACTCCTTTTTCCTAATTACTTAACAGAAAGATACTGGGGGAGGGGGGACAGTGAAATACCCAGGGCATACTCACTCACTAAACACTGAGTGAGGCTTTGTTGAAACGTACTGAGAAATTCCCACCCAGCTGAAAGATACTGAAGGGTGGAGAGTGGGCTGGCTGAAAGATGCCAGTGGAAAGGTACTGTGGAGGGACTTGATTGAAAAAAAAAATTGAGGAATACCCAGGGCTCAGCGAAAAGATGCTGAAGTCACTCCATTGTAGGGGACTGAGTGGTCTTGGCTGAGTGGTTAGGTAAGAAGCTGACCTGACAATTTCCCTCAGTTTGACTGCCTTTATAGGATATATGAGGATAAAAGTGAGGGAAATATATGGTAGCTGTGCTCCAAAGAAAAGGGACAAGACTCCTCCCAGCCAGTTATGGTTTTCTCAGGTGACTGAGAAATTTATGGGAGTGGTGAAGGCCTAGTCCTCATATGGTGCAGTGGTCCCATAGGTCCACTCATTAATTAAAATAGTTGCTCATCTGGGGATCACCCATAAGAACTGGCCATTCAGTGACCTGAGCAGCCATGGTGATCTTAGATTGCCAGAGGCAGAATCTGAGACATGTAAGATGAGCTGAAATGACTCTGGAGTGACTCCTGGAGGAGTTAAGCTCAAAGCAACAC